TGTAATAATTCTTCTCAACCAATGAGAGTACGTTCATTTATTGATCAACTCAATCAAGTTTCACTATCTTTATAAAAGATAGAAGTATTCTTTCACAAGTCACTTCTAAGTCAAACCTAAATATTCTTTGACTTGTCTTTTTAAGTAACTACCAAGTATTTTTTGAACAATGGAGTCTCTCTATTCTTCAACAACTAAGTATTCTTTTATAATAAAGTCTTTCCAAGTTTCAAGCTAAAACAAAAAGTTAAAGCTAGGTAACGTCTTACTCGCAAGACGTGATACAATAATTAAATACAAAGTTTTTTATAAAAAGAAAGAAATGAATAGTTTAATAAATGTTCTTTTTCTTCTTTCTAACTCTTCAAGCTTCCTTATATGTAGGTGCTTGATGAAGATGACTATTGTAAACCTTTGAGCTTCACTCATAGGCATGCTTCTTCTTTTTTTTTTTGTCTTTTTTCCTTGTAGAATAAGATGTATGTTGGTGTAACTATTGCAAACATTAAATGCGTTTCACCAAATTATCATTTCTTATATAATCAATGAGACTACGTATCACCTTTAAGATACAAAATGAGAGAAAGTGTAGTGCGTGTTAATTAAAATGACTTTATTAGTGACTTTGTACACTTTGAGATATCTCCTTTTATTCCTTTTTTTTACGAAAAACAAATTTGTGTTCTTTTTTGAAGTTCAAGTATCGAAGAAGATTTTATTCTCTCAATTTATTAAGGAATAATATATATGATATAGTTTTTAAACTTTATAAATGATATATTTAATGCATTTGTATTAAACAGACAAAGTGTTTCGTCCGAGAGAATTGTCAAAAAGACACATTATCATAACCAATCATCTTATATTATCGTCTTTCTTATATGATTTAAAAAAATAATTTCTTTATCTAAAACATTGAAATTTGTTAACTAAAACATATATTCTTGAAGGATCTAAAATCGTCTTTTAATATAATAATATAATATTTTCTTTAAGGAAATTTGAAGAAGATAAGAATGAAAATTTTGAAATTATAAAAAGAAAAATTCTGTAATGATCAATAATGAACATGAAATCATATAATATACTTGAGTTTGAGTAAGGGAAAATATTGTTCTTATTGAATTCAAGTCAAGCCTTTTCAATTTAACTCATATCTAGTCTTATTAAAATACATACAAATAATATGATAAATTTAATACTATTATGACATATATAATTCATTTTTTTTTCTTAAATTCACTTTTGATTTCTATAATTTTTTAAATGTGTAATTTTGGTCCCCAACAATTTGGTCATCAGAGTTTTCAAAATTAAAAAAATTTGTTGAACCATTAATATGTTATTCAAAATTAAATAAAAAATACCAATGTAGAATGTACCTAACAATACCTAACAATTAGATTTTTTTTTACAACTCCTAGCACTTAGTCAATTAGAAAAATAATAGTGTTAAAATTAAAAATAAATTATTTTAATAAATTATAAATTTTAATTGAAATAAAAAGAAACCTAACATATTTGTGCTAAAAATTAATATTGTTCCTTTTCCGAAAGTCAATGTGACTAAGTAAAAAATAATGTAGTGTCATTCATGTTCCACATCAATATCTTCTATTTAATTTTTGATGATAAATTTATAACAGACCAATATTATTTAATTTTAAAAATTAGAGGACTAGATTTACAATAAAAAAATTTCAAAGATCAAAATTGCACATTTACAAATAAATAAGAACTAAAAATGGATTTAAGTGTTTATTTTTTTATTCATAAATTATTCACTAATAAAAATATCTTGATATTTTTATTATTCAAAATTTATTTTTAAATTTTATGTACAAATATTTCATTATTTTTTTTATAAAAATAATTAAATCAGACATTAAAATTTTTTTCTTTTACATCATGTTTAATATTAAAAATTTATTGATGGTTATTAATTTAACTAATATTATAATTACAAGATACGATACTCAGACAAAGTTATTCAAGATCCTTCAAAAGATAAGATTCTCTGCTTAAGATAAGATTCGTTTTATATCAAATGCTAAAAAATTTCAAAGATGCTCCTGCTACCTCCTCACTCATAACTCCATAATAGATTATCTTTTGTAATAATGAATGTACTTTTTTTTTCTTTTCTGTTAATGACCCTAATAAGTGAGGATTGTAAATGCCCTTATATGTAATTTTCATATGTATGCTACTTCTATATAAGAATTCTTTGATGTTTGCAATAGGCATCGAGAGTTTTGAGATAATAAAAGTTTTGTTTTGCTATCTGATCTTCCAAATCTTCTTGCTATATTTTTCTTTGTAAGTTTTTCATCATGAATTTATTTCTCTTCATCATGATTATATTCTTAATTCAAGTAGTAGCAAAACCCAATTATAGGTTAGGAGGTAATAGTCCTATATTATTGTTACTTAGAGATCGTATGATGAAACAATTTTTCGATTCAATAATAGCAGTATTAGAAAGCAATTTGCATGATGACCCTGCCTTTTTTAATTGTTATCCAAATTTTTCAGTGAACATAATAAATGAAAAAACTAGTAATGCGTTAAAATTATACATAAAATTTCATATGAGATACTTGTGACACCCTCTACCCCAACATACATATACAGTAATAAGCTTGGATGCTTCCATCCAAGGCTTAAGCCTTCTTCCAATCCGTGAATCATCCTCCATCTAGTGTTCATTTCGTTGGTTTCCATTTCCTTGAAGGAGATCCGTGCATAAGGAGAGCTAAGGAGAAGAACACCTACCACTTCTCCTAACCTTCTTCCATCATTTTTGGTATCAAGAGCAAGGTCTTCAAGGAGATAAGTTGCTTCCATTTTTGTGTCCGTGTTTTGTGTTGTTCTTGTGTGTTCTTGTGTCTTAATTAGAGTTTCATTTTCAGATCTATATGTTTTGAATCACTTTTTGTTCCATAGATCCATTGGTTGATTGTTTTTGAATTTTCTTCCACAATCAACATGTTTAGGACCTATTAGCTTGTGCTTGTTTTGATTTAATTTGAGTCTCTCCATTCTTGTATGTGTCCGTGATTGGACTTCATGCATTTGCATTAGATTTTGGTTTTTAATCCATGTTTTGTCTTAGAGTTTGTGTTTAGTTCTTATATGTTCAAAAAACTCCTTGAATAGCATGTTGACCTAATTGTTTTTTAGTACATTGTTCATCATTTTTTGATTCGGTCATACTTCTAATGTGCCTACTTATATGTGCTTTTTCTTTTACCTTATTGTGTTCATAAATTGCTATTAGTCCTAGCAAGTTTCTTTAGAGTTAGGTTTCCATTGTGTCTTAAGTTTTCAAATCACTTTCCATTGAAAATCTTATAAAAATTTTTGACTCAAAATTTCAAGTGCTTAATTCTACTTCTAGTGCACTCTTTCTTGTGGTCTTTTATAGCATTATGTTTCTCATTTTTTAATACATTATGATATATTATCTATTTTAAATTATATAATATGTATTATTTTAAAAAATAAAATGATTTTTGTTGGAAGGGTCATGATTTTTATTTCTTATTATCAATTTTCCTCTATTTATAGGTATCAGGCCGCGGCCAGAACGACCCGTTATGAATCCGGAACGGCCCGTTCTGGGCACATAGAACATGTACAAAAATCTCTGCCAGAACGGCCTGTTCTAAACCCAGAATGGCCCGTTCTGAGTCAAGACTTTGTCCTTTAAAAACACATCCGGAACGGCCCGTTCCCAAAGTGGAACGACCCGTTCTAGGTTAAAATTTTATCCACGCATGCTTGATTTGGAACAGCCCGTTCCCAAAGTGGAACGGCCCGTTCCAGAGCTATGAAAATCCAGGATTGTTAATTAATGAATATATATAAAAGCCAGAACGGCCCATTCTGAGTCAATATTTTTTTCTTTAAAACCACATTCGGAATGACCCGTTCCCAAAGTGGAACAGCCCGTTCCAGGATTATGAAAATCCAAAATTACTAATTAATAAATAACACACACACACACACACACATATATATATATATATCAAATTAAAATAAAATATCAATACAATTTAAAACATGATTTTCTTCAAATAATAATTATAACAAAATATCATAATTAATAATATTATACAAAATAATTTTCATAAATAATTATTATTAAAAACCTTTAAAAATTCAATCAAACTCATTTAATTAATCAAAATAATTATAAGGTAATAATCTTCATAAATACAAAAATAAATAATAATTATTCATAGTATTAGTAGAAAAATTTGGGGTGTTACAATATTAGATGAAGAATCAGGACAAATATTCATAATTTTTAGAGTTTACTATAAGCTAACCAAAATTGATTTTAATTATAAAGCTTTAAGGTCCTCGCCTAAAAATGAAACTATTTTAGTTAAGGCTAATCTTAAAAAGTATGAATTTTTTTTTTGTTAAATTTAAGGGTAATAGTGTCCAATACAAAATGAAAACGAAAAAGATGATTACTAAAATCTATTCCTTTTATAATAGGTATATATAATTTTTAATTAAATTTCAAAATTTTAAGTTCAAAAAGATCGTGAGAAAAATTAATGTCTTCTTTAAAGATAAATAACACTCTCACCAATATCTATACAAATATATAAATGAGATATACCTTTTAATAATCACATTAATTTTCATATTTTATTAATTATTATATATTTTTTTATTTTTTAAAAATTTAAAAAATAATTTTTTTATAAAATTCAAAATCTTGAATTTATTGAATTAATTATCATATTAATTAAATCATTACATTTTTATTATTTAATTTTAATTTTAATTTAAATTTTTAATTTTAATTGATACATGAAGTGTATCGACTCACTAATCATAATAAATAAAATATTTAGAAGTTAAAATTTAAATTAAGAAGTTTTTGATCGGTGAATTAAGAAGTTAAAACAAACATTTTCCAAACCCAACCTTAAAAATCAGAACAACTTTTAAAATATAAAAATAAGAAATGAAATGTGTTTTCCCCTTGGCTTGTCTATTGGCTCTTGGCTCTGTGTGTTCCCCTTCGGACTGCATAGGTTCGCAGGAGTTCGCTGAATTGATTTCCTTTCCACTAAGGCACGAGTGATGAGTAAAAACTAAAAAGCGCCGTTTGGTGTTTGTTATTTTTTCCATGGCCGGAACGGGATTTGGCGCAACGGCACCGGCACCGTCATCGACGCCGTTGGCAAGGTCGTGGAGGACTGCGTTTTTGACTCTGAGGGATGAAACCCTAACGATTCCTCCTCGTAATTCTTCTGCTCAAATGCTCGATAATCTAATCTTCTCCCATTCAAATGCTATGGTGTCTGCGGCGGTTGAACTTCCTTCACACGAGGTATCTTTTCAATCTCAAACGCATAAATGTACGCGTGCGAGGGTTGGATTATTCGCTCTCTTTTCAGTTGTTACAATTGCGCACCTGATTTGTTGTTTAACTTTTTCTCTAAGGTTTTGTCGGACATTTTGTTTATGATGGAATTGGTTTCTGCGACTTCTTCAGATGAAGAAGATTGTACTCATATCTATACACAGACATCACTCCTGGTATCATGTTTGCTTACTTTGTTTGTTTCTGGTTTTTTCTAAGCCTTGTTTGGATGAACTTCTTCCGCGAGAAGGAAATAAGAAGGTAAATTGCATTGAGCTTCTCCATAAGCTAAAATAAACTTATGCAAAGTTAAATTAAAAGAACTTCTATAAAAGTCAAGTGCATAAGTTAATTTTAGCTTATGTTAAGAAACTCAATTTGATTTACTTTTTTGTATTTTTCTTATCCTATAAGTATTTATAGAGAAGTTTAATTAACGGCCCAACTTTGCTAAGTAAATGTATAAGTATTATTGACATTTTTTTCAGAATTATTTTTATAAAATGATTTTGGTTCTTGTGTTCTTATCGCAGATTCATGATATATGTTCACGTGTTTCGTTCGATATGAATTTCTCCTCTTTTAGTAGTGTGCTCAATTGTTTCGGGAAGATGCTGAATCTTTTTCTTAGAAAAGCTGCTACTAGTGATGGGGTAGTTGGAGTTTCCAGTGCTACTACAATAATTCCTGCCATTGAGTGCCTCCAGGCTATCAGGTTCTCTTGTCTGGAAAAGATTTGATGCATAATGTAATCTTGCCTAGGCAGTATATATATATATAGAGAGAGAGAGAGAGAGGAGGGATTCGTTTTTCAGGAGTAAGTTTACCTAGATTTATTCCGTTCAATAATAACTCATGTTGTACATCAAATTTCAACGAACCAACCGTTAAATTTAAAGTTCTTAATTCATAGATCAAATCTGCAAATTTTAAAAAAATTTGAAAACCATTTGATATTTCGTTTCATTAATTCAAATCAATGATGAAATGAAGTATCAAATGGTTTTCAAATTTTATAAAAATTTACAGATTTGATCTATGCATTAAGAACTTTAAATTCAACGGTTGGATCGTTGAAGTTTGATGTAGAACATGAGTTATTGAACGGAAAAAGTTTAGATAGACTTCCCTCCTCTCTCTTTCTCTCTCTCTCTCTCTCTCTCTATATATATATATATATATATATATATATATACTCTTTTTGGAGTTGTTATAATATTGCTTTTACTTGAAAAGCATAAGAGACACAACAGGTTTTATGATTGAAATAGACTCTTCTCTAGTTTTTACTTTGCCTGTTTGAAAATGTTGAGATTATTTATTTTATTATTTTAAACTGATACCTTGTTGTTGCTTTTCTATTATGAGATAAGTGAACATAGGTATTTTTTCTTTGGCCCTTTAATAATGTTGAATTATGTATCCTGTTATTTTAAAACAATAGTTGTAATTTTTGTTGTTGCCATTCTAGTTATTTAGTAAATGAGATTTAAGTCACTGATTGTAGTCATTGTGCTTTTTTTCCTTTTATTTGTTCTGATAGTATACTATTCTCTATTAATTGTTAGTTATAACATTGGGGTGTATTGGCATCATAAGCTCCTGACTGCAGTGCACAGACTTTGCTTTTAGTGTAAGCTGGTAGGGTTTAAATCCTCCACTGTAACCACCTTGTGGCTATCTGCCATCGTTGAGTGGGATTGGCTTCACACCTTAGTGTAAACAAAAAAAAAGGGTCTGGAGCTGCCTCGTGTGAGACTGACTATACAAAAGTCTTTACCTTTTCGTGTGATTTTATTTTCTTGAAGATTTTTTAACTGATAATTTATCAATTAATAATATATTTTTAAGTCATTTGAACAGGTTCTGTATTTTGCATTTTTCCAAGTCTCTGATGGTATCTGTATTTTTGTATATTGTTAATTTAATTTTTTAAATATGAATGGGCAAGTACTGTTTATGCAATCATATTTTGACTTCTTTCTTGAAAGGGGTAAATGATTCAATACGAGTTTTTACTGTTAATACCTTTCAAATTTTTTGGTTTGGTAAATCATACTTCTAATTTACACTGTACAAAATCTGCTTCCTCTCCAGATGTATTATTACTTTATCTCATCGAAGATGGTTGCAGTCTGAAGATACTATACTGGTTAAATTTCTACTTGATGTTATTGTTTGCTCCTATGGTGTCTCATGTTGGATGCCTCATTCAATTTGTAAAGAAAAATCTACTGGGAATAATATGAGATTTTCCACAGAGAGAAGTTCCAGTGAATTACAGACAGTGGCTTTTGAGATGCTTAGTGAAGTAATCTCTAGAGCTGGATCATCCTTCCCTGTTGATATCTGGAGATCAATTTTTGAGGTATATAATACTGCACCTTTTTTGTAAAACTGTATATTAATTCTAGAATTTTTTTAACTAGTCTCTTCTGAAATAGGTGTTCAGAAAAACAATGGATGTCTTGGCATTAAAACCTCCTGTCGTGGAAGATAGTGTCATGTCCAGGTAATCTGTATGTTTGAGGAACTGAGTAGAAGCCAGTGATGAAATTTTTTAGTGATTCATGCTTTGGCCACATATCATTCTTTACAAGTCACTGATGTATCTTTGCTGCAGGTTTTATGAATCTTTTCTGTGTTGTCTGCATCTGATCCTTGTTGATCCTAAGTGTTCTGTTTCCGATCATGTAAGTTAACTAATTTTTGTTTTAATATAAAGAATAAAAGAAATATGTTATACTTCTAACCATTGTGACGTGTTTTTTCTTCTTCTTCTTTTTTTTTTTTCTCCTTCTAGGTGTCAGTTTTTGTTGCTGTTCTGCGAAAGTTCTTAATTTATGGCCTTTCTGGTAGAACACCAGGTACTTCTCTGCCTGTTGGTCATGAGAAGAAGGAGCTTAATAATATGAGTCCCAAGGCAAGCAGGGAAAAACTGAACAAATCAGATCATAGTACATATAGGCCTCCACACTTGCGCAAAAGGGACTGCTTAAATGTGAAGCACAATAGAGCTAGACATTCCCAATATATATCAGATAGCGAGTCTTCTACTATTAATGTTACATCATCAGATTCAGAGTTTAGTGATGGAGATGGATCAGTTAAGGACAGTGGCAGAGTGCAGAACTCTAGGGTTAGAATAGCTGCCATAACTTGCATACAGGTAGATTCCAAACTGTCATGTAACTTTTTACTTTTAGATTTGCTCAAAAATATAAATTAATAATATTGTCAAGATTTTTAAATTCTCAAAAGACTAAGACAAAAAGTAACAAAGTTGGTGATAATGTATTTTTGAAGAACTTAGAACCATTAACTTTACCTTTTTGGCATTAACTTCCCTATTATCTCATTGCTATGGTTTTGTTAGATAGTTTTGGAAGCCTTAGATCAGTCGAGCATAGGGATAGAATCAATTCTAAATGTTCCACCTTAAGTTGATGCGTAGATGTTAACTATGCCCAGCTTGTTACAAAATTAATCAACTGTATCCCTATTAACCACCTTTGTAAAAAAATGTTGTACTCAAGGGTGAAAGTCAAGCACATAATTTATTTCTATAATTCCAAAATAATCTGGTTAATAGGCCAAATTATAAGAACCAATATCACTGGGTTTCTGATAGAAACATAAATGGAAGAAAAACAGAATTTCTTTACTGATTGAATGTATCTCCATGAAGAATTCCCTGGATATTCAATAGATTCAGGCCTCTCCCTAGTTGTAACTCTTTCACCAAATGATTCCTTTTTCTTCTCAACTCCTCTTCCTATTTATAGTTAGCCATTGCTCTGCTAACAATAAACTCACACTTAATGAGAGGCAATATTTTGTTTATATTCACAATGTGTCCGAATATATAGGGGATGCAAGTTTACATAGGCTTATTAAATTAATTATACATAAATAGAGGATATTATGTTTCATCTAAATCTGATACTATGTGACTATAAACTGCTATTATGACAATAAATATAGCATATCATATTTTAATTTTCAACAGATGGTATTATTGTTTCAAGCACAAATTTTGAGTGGCAGGCAATATTGTCAAACCATGATAATATATATGAGAATTACTTGATGTAAATCAAGATGACCTAAAAGCTTGCTTTTACATAAATGGAGCAAAATTCCATTGGGTGTTAGAAAACAATCAGCTCAGTTTTAAAATTGATGAAAACAATATAGCATCAAGAATCATTTTTGGTAGTACAACATAATTGTTTCCAAACATTTCACTAGGTAAGAGAACCAATTTCAAACTTATTTAAGTTTCAAAACATTTTTTTATTATGAAAAAGAACCAATTCCACACTCAGTGGTTATGTTACCCTTTCCTGCCCCAATAATTCATGAAGATGGATAGGTACTTATCAAGTTCCCCCCTCCCCGTATTTAACTTGCTTGGATACTTTCATGCATGTCAAAAGCTTTGCTTGCAATTTTGTAGTGAATGATTTTTTTTTTTTTTTGGATGGGAAGGATCTTTGTCAAGCTGATTCTAAATCTTTATCCATGCAATGTTCCTTGCTTTTGCCAACTAGTGATGTATTACAACAAAGGTATGACCCGACCATTACTCCTCCTTTTATGAATTCAAACTATCTTTCTCTCCATCGGATCTTGTTTTGTTGTTTTCTAACTACATGATTGTTTAATCTGTATTTTCATAGGATGCATGATGCGACTTTAATGACATGCTTGCTATTTGATCCTTGTTTGAAGGTAATGAACATTGATGTTGATACATGTATGTGTAGTTGCCCTGTGCATTTCTCCTTGTGTATTAGTGTTTGTCGAACTCAATTTTCTATTTTTAAATTGAATGGTCACATATATTTTGATGTAATATTTTCCAAATTTTACACTGTTTATGATTTATGTTGGCTTGTTATTTGTTATAATTATTTTGATAAGAAATTGGAATTAGAAAAGCAAATAGGGAGCCCATGCTCTTTACAAGCTTTGATAGTGCTTATGATTAAAATTAAAAGAGAAAAAAGAAGATAACAAGTGAATTCTGGAGATGTGAAGATTGTTCCAACCCACCAAAAACCTCACCTTACTCAGTTCTTACCTACCTCTTTCACCTTTTACTTTTCCCTAATTTTTGCGTTCTCCTTCCATTGATCTAGTATGATGGATGCTGAAGTTCTGTTTAGGCATTCACTGCCACCACAATGTCACCCACATAGACTACTAGATGGTTACATTGGTTGAAGAGTGCTTGTTAACAATTGGGTGGTTTTCCTCACTACAAACTGTGCTAACATTTGTATAACTGCAAAATCTCCCTAACCATGCCTAGGGTGGCTGTTAAAGACCATATAAAGACTTTGTAATTGATGCATATAGCCACATAACTGCCCGTGGGCAACAAACCTAGGAGATTTCTCTATATATTCCTATTCCTTTATATCATTGTTAGGCCCTCAAATGGAGTTGGTGATCAGCTGTTGGATTTGGGCCTCAACTAGGCCCATTATACGGCACAGTTAAAGTTAAAGTTTTTGGGAGAAAATTAGTGATTCATCCTCACTAAAAAGACAGTGATTTCTATCGCTGTGTCTAAAATACAACCAAAAGCAACTTTATTGAAACTATAATAAATAACAAAAAGTCTAACTTAATACTTCCCCTTATGTTGGAGCATATAAATTGTAAGCACCAAGCTTGGAACATGAGTTGTATCTGAAGTCCTCTTAAAGATTTGGTCAACATATCTACATGTTGATCATTGGAGTTGATAAATTCAGTACTATTCTCCTTGGATAACAACTCCTCTAAAACAAAATGGCAATTAATCTCCATATGCTTAGTCCTCTCGTGAAACATTGGATTAGAGGCTATGTGGAAGGCTGCATGATTATCTCAATATAACTTCATCTGTTGATCTTCACAGAATTTCAACTCTTGAAGGAGTTGTTTAATCCACACAAGTTCACAAGTAACTAAGACTATAGCTTGATATTCTTTTCTCCACTGGATTGAGCCACAACATTTTGTTTCTTGCTCTTCTAGGATATGAGACCACCTATACATACACAATATCCAATAGTAGAGCATCTGTCTTTAGGAAAACCTACCCAATCAACATTAATATCTGGGAACTTTTGTTTCCCTTTACTTCATACAATCTTTGTCTAGGAGCCTTTTTGATATATCTAACAACACCTTAGTGATTAATATGAAGGGCCTGCATAAATTGATTTACAACTCCCACAACATAAATAAGCTTCCCCATCGTTTTTCTACATCTCTCCAGATCTATGAATGGTTCACCTTGAGTAGCCATTAACTTTTGATTAGGATTCATTGGACTATCATTGGGCCTGCAATCAGCCATGCCTTTTTCTTTCAAAACATCTAAAGCATACTTCCTTTGTTAGATCACAATGGCTTCCTCTGTTAGATCACAATGGCTTCATTTGTTAGATCACAATGGCTTCCATTGATTGGCAATACCTATAAAATATTTTAGGCAACCAAGGTTCTTTGGTATGAAAATAACTATATTAGTGCCTTTTTAGCTAGGAAATCTCAGTAACATCATTCCAAGTAATCACTACGTCATCAACATAAACACATTTCTTAGGGGAGGGATGGCAATAGAAAACTGAATGATCTTCACTTCATCTCAACCCAAAGTCCTACATCACATGGCTAACTCTCCCAAACCAAGCATGAGGAGACTATGTAAGGCCCAAAGTCCTACATCTCATTGCTAAATCACCATTGACAGAATCGTGCTGTTGTGACGTTACCACTTGCAAGGCATGAATCTTAGATGATTCTGAATGCTTGAGGCGAATGATTCCTTAGCTCTTTATTTATAATGATCAGAAATCAATTACAATAATGATGAGATCCTTTGATTATAGGGATTATACATTTAGACATTAAATATAATCAAATGGTAACTTAGCAAGAATAATAAAAAAAAATGAAATAATATTGAAAGAGATTAGATGGAAATTAGGATCAAATCTTAGATGGAAATCAGGATCAAATCTCAACACTCCTCATCAAGTTTGAGTGTATAGATTAAAGGCATCTAGGTTGGAACAAATGTAGGATATCCACGGCCCTCTAAACGGCTTGGTAAAAATATCTACTAGCTGATCATTAGAATTGACAAAAGAGTTGGTGGCTACTCCAAAAGCAATCTTCTCCCACATAAGGTGACAATCAATTTTAATGTGTTTAACCTGTTAATGGAAGTTCGGATTCGATGCTATGTGTAAGGTTGCTTGGTTGTCCCAAATAAGTTTCATGGACTCAAATCTTAGATGGAAATCAGGATCAAATCTCAACACTCATCGTCAAGTTGGAGTTTATAGATCATAGGCATCTAGGTTGGAACAAATGTAGGATATCCCCAACCATCTAAGAGGCTTGGTATAAATATCTACTAGTTGATCATTAGAATTGAAAAAAGAGTTGGTGACTTCTCCGAAAGCTAGGGGTGGGCAAAAAAACTGAATTGAATTGAATTGGTAGTAAATTGAATTGAACTGCACTATAAAAAACTGAATTGTTTGTAAAAAAACTGAACTAAACTATTTTTTTAAAAAATTGAACTGAATTGAACTACAAAAATTGAATTATTTTTATAAAAGAGTAAAAATTAAATGTGTCTAAAATAGTTTGTCTTAATGGGTTAGCTCAATAGCCTAATGTCTTAGGCTTTAAAAAAAGTGATCCAAAAAACATTGTGTCAATTTGGTCAACCCAAGAGGCCAACTGGACTATATTGGGCCACTAATTTTTAGATTTGAAACTTATTAGATCTATTTGACCTGATATTTTTTTCTCTCTATATTTTTCTTTGAAAAATTCAAATAAAATAAAGTCGGTGAATTTGCCCTATCATGACAAACCAACTGGTCAAAAAAGTTCAATTTAAAAAATCATATCAGTTCAGTGTAGTTTGAATTACAGTCCAGTTCAAATTTTTATATTGCTGTTCAAATTAGCTCAATGAAACAATAAAACAGTTCAATTCGTTTGAAGTTGAACTAATATGTGGTTCAGTTTAGGCGAACTAATTTTAAGTTCAATGCAGTTTTTATAAGTTCAGTTTAGTTTATTTTGCCCATCCCTACCAAAAGCAATCTTCTCACGCATAAAATGACAATCAACTTGAATGTGTTTAGCCCGTTCATGGAAGATTGGGTTTGATGCTATGTGTAAGGTTGCTTGGTTGTCACAAATAAGTTTCATGGACTCAATTTTGCAAACTTGAAGTTCACTAAGGAGTTGTTTTAGCCAAATCAGCTCACATGTAGTGTGACAAGCATAGCCCGACAATCAATTAGAAAACCAACCCAATCTATATTTGTATATGCTATAATACCAATGTGACCTCTCTTCTCATAAACTAACCCTTTTTTAAGAGATCCTTTTATATATCTCAAAATTTGAACCACAACATCCCAATGACTTCTGCATGGATAATTGAGGAATTGACTAACAACACTGATTACAAAGGATATGTCAGGTCTAGTCATGGTGAGATAATTCAGCTTCCCAACTATTCTACGATATCCTCATGGATCCAAGAAATACTCCCCTTGATTTGGCTAAGCTTGGTATTCCATGGGAGTGTTGATGGAATATTTTCTGAGACATGACAACAATTGTCTTTGATTGGGTTACTTCAATCCCTATAAAATATTTTGGCCTAAATCCTTTGTTTGAAAGTGTTGAAACAAATGACTTTTAAGATCCCAGATACCCTTGTGGTCATCTCCTGTACTAACAATATCATCTACATATGCCACCAGATAAGTGCATTGGTTAGTGGAAGAAAGTTTGTAAAAAAATTGAGTGATCATACCCATTATGAGCCATGCCAAAATTTTGAAGAACAAAACTAAATCTTCCAAACCATGCTATCAAACTTTCCTTGAGGCTATAGAAGGCTTTGCATAACTTGCAAACAAAACTAGTAGACTTCCCTTGAGTAACAAACCTAGGAGGTTGCTCCATATAGACTACCTTAGCCAAATCACCAAATAGAAATGCATTTTTGGTTTCCAATTGATAAAGAGGCCAACGATGCATAACTAACATGGATAGGAAGAGACTAATAGAGGCCATCTTGCCGAATAGAGAAAATGTATCACTATTGATGGAAAAACCTAAGAAGAAGGATGCCAAATTCTCCATAGCTTCTTAGTAGCTCCTCCAATCTTCATCCATGGCTTCAAATGTCAAAGAACTCAAGCAAATATGGATAGAGAGAAGAGTGTATGGTGCACCACTTCTAAGTGGATGATAAGTAAGAAATGAGGAATTTGTCACAAGGATGAATTCTTTGATAAAAGTTCTTAAGGAGAAAATTCTCCAAGGAGAGGAGAACAAGGCTTTGAAGAGAGAATTCGGAAACTTAATTCTCATACAAATGCTCAAAGTGACGAGTTACATAGGGGTGATGTGTATATATGGAGTTTGGTAGCTTGTGATGCAAGTTAAGCTAACCAATGTTAGTTGTAACCAAGGTTAGTTTAACTTGTACTCAAGCCAACTAACTCTAGCTAAAATTCAAATGTGAATTACCTTCCTTAATGTGTCAACATTCTAGGTTTAAAAGAGCAAATAAGAGTTTGCCACATGACAAGGTGCAAATGGTGTGATAGGAGGTTGTTAGTAGAAAAGAGGGTGTAGAAGAAAAAAATGCCAAAAGTGTGACTAGTGTGTGGAAGATGTGACTTGGTGGATTT